ACGGGTGCCCCTGGAAGAGACAGACATGGAGTTACAAGGACAGGTTACAAGGGACAGCCAGCATTTGTTCCTTCTTCCAAGCGCTCCCTCTCCAGACTGCTTCCTGGCTCTCCTCCCTTTCCCGCCTTAGGTTTTTTTTTTTCCTGGTTTGGGTCCTGATACCCCAGAGTTGGGATCTGTTTCTCCTTCCTCTTTCCCAACCCAAGACATACTCTCAAATTTGCTGATGACTCAGAACTTAGCATACCAATATAAAAGATGACAAAAAGCCTGGGCGCTGTGACTCATGCCTATAATCCCAGTACTTTGGGAGGCCAAGGTGAGAGGATTGCCTAAGCCTGCTGGTTCGAGACCAGCCTGGGAAACTTGGCGAGACCTCTTCTCTATAATAAAAATTCCAAAAGAAAAAAAAAATTAACTGGGCATGGTGGCGCTTGCCAGTAATTCCAGCTACTTGGAAGGCTGAGGCGGAAGGATTGCCTGAGCACAGCAGTCGAGGCTGCAGTGGCCATGAGCGTGCCACTGCACTCCAGTCTGGGCGACAGAGTGAGACTCCAACTCAAAAAAAAAAAGGTGACAAATAAAAATCTAAAATGACCTTGATGTTTGGAATGCTACACTGATAGGAATAAAGGTGAAGACTCCAAGTTAAACAATTCAGTGTCGTGAGGGAACTTTTGAGGGTGAAGGATACATTCACTGTCTTGATTGTGGTGATGGTTTTTGTGGGTAGATGTCTATGTCAGAACCTATCAAAGTGTTCCTTTTCAATTTGTAAGTTTTTTTGTATTGACTGGGTGTAGTGGCTCACGCCTGCAATCCTAGCACTTTGGGAGGCCAAGGTGGGAGAATTGCATGAGCCTGGGCAACATAGCAAGACCTTGCATCTACAACAAGATAAAAAATAAAATTAGCTGGGCATGGTGGCATGCACCTGTAGCCTCAGCTACTCAGGTTGCTGAGGTGGAAGGACTGCCTGAGCCCAGGAGGTCCAGGCTGCCGTGAGCTGTGATCATTGTGATCGTTTCACTGCCCTCCAGCTGGGTAACAGAGTAAGACTCCAACTCAAACAAACAAACAGACATGCAAATAAATAAATGAACATGTGCACTTCACAGTATGCCATTTATACCCCCATAAAGCTGTTTACAAAATAAAATGTCCTATGGACAGATGGAAACTCTGACTTGCTTGCAGCACTTTTGATGGGCCAGGAGACAGCATTTGGAAATTTCTTGGGATCCAATTTCCTTGAGTTTTTCAGCAGTCCATTCTCTGCTAATGAACTTTGTATTTTTTCAGAGAACACAATCTTGACAGATGCAAGAAATTTATAGCGCTTTATCTCCAGGGGTTTGGAGATATCCCTAAATGGTCAGGGCTCCACATGAAGCCACGTGTCCTGCCTGAGAAGGTATTCTGCTGGGGCGCTCATGACAATGACCTTCTTAGACAGGGCACACCCTCTGTGCCCCAGTGATGATGGGCTGTGGCTTCTGTGTAACTCTGAGCATGCCTGTATAATTCTCCTCCTCCTTTCTCACTAGGAACATGACGGAAAGGCAAGTATGAGAGTAAGGAAAATGTTACCATGAGCATAACCTTGAACCTGCTCTAACCTGTAAATAGGCACCGACCGTTCACACCCTTCAGTACTTTATGATTATTATCAAACTACTAAACCGGGTGCAGTGGCTCACGCCTATAATCCCAGCACTTTGGGAGACTGACTCCAGAGTATTGCTTGAGCCCAGGAGTTCAAGACCAGCCTGGGCAACAGAGTGGAGACCTCATTACTAAAAAAAAAAAAAAAAAATTAGCCAGGCATGGTGGCATGCGCCTGTAGTCCCAGCTGTTTGGGAGACTGAGGCTGGAGGATCACTTGAGCCCAGGAGGTCGAGGCTGCAGTGAGTCTTGATAGTGCCATTGCATTCCACCCTGGGTGACAGAGTGGGACTTGAAAAAAAAAAAAGAAACAAAAAAAAAAAAGAAAAAATGAAAGCCAAACACACAGGCAAAAATAAACCAACAAAAAAGTTTCCTAAATTACTGGCAATGCACCTCATAGCAGATGGGGATGGAGCAGTGTATTTAGGCTGAAAACTGCCCTGCCTTTAGGAAGCCCAGGAAGGAGTCCCTGTAGCAGCCCATGCAGTGCTCTCAGCTGGCTCTGCACCTGTCTGTCCCCTTCTGGGTGCTGCACTAGGACCGCTGGGCCTGGCCTTTGGTCCAGTCCTTGAGCCTGACCCAGCCCTGGCCACCAGATTGCTGGATTTCCCAGCCACACCCATCTTCCTCTGGCTGCACAGATCTGCTATAGGCATAGGAGAGGCAACCAGAACAGCGCGAGCATCCCAGAAGCCATTTGCACAAGGCATTGTTCAAGGATCTGAGAGTTTCTAACTTGGAGAAGGAAAGTGAACGGGAAGCAAGGCAGTGGTCCTCAAAGTCTCGAAGCTTTGACCTGACCAGGCTTATTCCATCAGGCAAAGATCCAGAGAGCCACATTAGGGTCTGGGAGTATGTTTTCTGGGGAGGCAGATTCAAGCTTAACACAAGGAGGAAGATGGCAACAGTCAGGACCGGCCAGCAATGAACTGATTGTTCTTGGAAACAGTGAACTCTTTTTTAGAAGATTCATGGTCAGGGATGGACACAAGGAATTTTCGTTGCCTAGATGTCCTCTAGGAGTTTCTTCCTCTGGGCTCTAGAATTCTGTAATTTCAAAATCCCCTGTTTTGTTATACTCTTGAGACCCCTGTTGACTGTTGACCCCAATCTAGCCCACATATCTGTCTCCTCCTCCCAAGGAGCTCAGCGCTTCCCTGCACACCACCCAACTTGTTTTCAGCATTTCTTTGCGTCAGTGGCTGGGATTTCTCTTCCCCGCCCGTTTGGGGTCAGAGACACTGTGTGCCATATCAGATTTCACCCTGGGGGTTGCCTCGGAATCATTTCCTATGCAACCCATGCCCTTTCTTGTTTGAATGATGGGTTCAAGACGAGGATACAGGGGTCTCTAGTAGGGACCCAGGGAGGTTGGCAGCACACGGAGGGAAGCCCGGTCTTTCTGTGTCTCTCGTCCTTACCCGTCGAATGGATATGTATTGTTCCTCATCCCTTCCTCCCTCTCTCTGAGCTGGGAGTATACACTCAACGACGTTGGTGACATCAGTAACCTTACAGTTCTTACTGCTGCAAAGCATAGATCTGTGACTTACGGCATAGTGCACAGATCTCCATTTTGGTACAATGTTGTCAGGCTTCTTACCCCATTACATTGTGGATTATTATGGTTTGTTATCTTTAGGGAAGGGGACACTACATTTCAACAATGAGAAAGACTTGTTACACAAAATGTCCCTTCTCATGACACGGTGCCAATGATCTGTGACTTTTGGCGAGGAGACCCAAAGGAATTTGGGTTCATTCCCTTGCCTGGAAGACTCACTGCATTCATCAAGTGTCTTCTTCGATGTGTCCCAGGATTATCCTGTGCTTTCTATCCTAGTGCTCACCACGCCTCACGGTGACTGCAAGTTTCAATGTTTCTCTGGTAATTTGTGGTATTCCCCGCACCTGACACGAATTCGCTCTTGTCATATTGAAGGGCTTATCTGCAGAGGGGAATAGTGTCTCTCACATCGGGTTCACTTACAGATATCTGCTCAGCCAAGCTGGAAAGGTTATGGCTGGAAAGGAACCTTTGGAAATCAAAGTTCCTCCTTTTTTTTTTGAGTTGGGCTGAAGTGCTGTGGCACACCCAGGCTACAGTGCAGTGGCATGATTATGACTCATCACAGCTTGAACTCCTGGCTCAGGTGATCCTTCCATCTCAGCCTCCTGAGTAGCTGGGGCTACAGGTGCACACTACCACACCCAGCTAACTTTTTTCAGTGTTTGTAGAGATGAGGTCTCGGTAGGTTGCCTAGACTGGTCTTGGAAGTCCTGGGCTCAAGCAGTCCTCCAACTTCAGCCTCCCAAAAGGCTGGCATTACAGGTCTGAGACACTGCGCCCTGGTGCCCATTTGGAAGAGTAGAGATCTGATATTTAGAAAGACAAGGTCTGTCCCACTGAGTAGATACCAGAAGCCACGTCCCCCACTGGCTAGGTCGCTGTGTTATGACCGAGTAAGCGAGAAGAAGTCAGGCCTATAAATTGAGTTTATTTTTTTAAATTTATTTATTTTTTTGAGCTGGAGTCTCACTGTGTCACCCAGGCTGGAGTGCAGTGGCCGCTCCCGGCCATCGCAGCCTCGACCTGCTGGGCTCCAGCAATCCTTCCGCCTCAGCCTTCCAAGTATCTGAAATTACAAGCGCGTGCTACCACGCCCAGCTAATTTTGATTTATTGTAGAGATGAGGTCTTGCCAAGTTGCCCAGGCGAGTCTCGAACCCGCGGGCTCAGGCAATCCACTCACCTCAGCCTCCCAAAGGCGCGGGATTACAGGCTGAGCCACCGAGCCTGGCTATATAAACTGAGTTTAATTAATTCGAGTCCTTTATTAACACGCGGGTCAAGAGTAGGCAAATGCCGGAAAACTTGACAAATTGGTGCCGTTTGTGACAAAATTTTATAGGTACAATTTGCAGTATTGGCTACATAGCAACTTAGTGACCTTGCTTAGGTCACTAACAGAATATAAGAACAAACTATGAAAATGCCAAAGTGTAACACTTGATTTCAGTTAACAAAGCATACAGTCACACGGAAGTTATGGCGAAGGAGTTCTGGAATGGTCAGCAGGCAATGGTCAACATAACCTGCCCAAAGGGGACAAAGTTGGGGGTCTGTGGTCATGGGAACGTTACTGTCATCACACATAGGCATTGATTCTTAGGTCAGGCAGGTAACTAAGATGGAAGTTTTAAACAAAATGGAGTAAGCTGGTTAATAAATTATTATTTTGCTAGCAATTTGATTTTATTCACCGATTTAGCTCATTTCAGCTGCCCTTTCCACGGTGCCCCTCAGTCATGTGTCCTCCTCCTCTTTTCCAGCCTCGTTAACTTTGTGTGCCACACCTGCTTCAAGAGGCAGGAGAAGCTGCTTCGCTGTGGCCAGTGCAAGTTCGCCCATTACTGCGACCGCACCTGCCAGAAGGATGCGTGGCTGGACCACAAGCCCGAGTGCTCGGCCCTCAAGAGATACGGAAAGGCGCCCAGTGAGAACGTCAGGTCAGTGCTGGGCCCCGGGGCTGTGCTGGCATCCGAGTATCAGGTCGGGATGCGGTGGGGTGACAGCAGTTGCAGGCCTACAGAAGCCTGGCTGAGCGCACCTCAGGAGGGAGCCTCGGAGGGCCTGGAGCTGACCATTTCTCTGGTCACTCCCTTTGGGTCTAAGAGGGACAGCTGTGTCCGCAGCAGTAACTCCAAGCTGTAACCACCGGTTGGAACTGATCTACAGATCCCTGCAGGGCTCCCTGGTGTTTAAAAATTGGGACATTTCACATTTAAAAAATTAGGATTTCTGACCTCTCTTGAAAAAAGAAAAAAAAATCTGAAGAGCTGGCAGAACAATAGCACCTTTCCCTTTTAAGAAATACAGAGCCCTCCCCGTCACCACAGCCTCACGGTCCCTGAGGGTAGCCACGTGGCATCAGAAAGGGCGTTGAGTTTGCAACAAACAGCCTTTCCTGGTGGCCATCACCAGAAATCTCAGCCCCAGCTCCAAAGAGCCCGAGTCCTGGGGGTTCTGGCAGGGCCTGGTTTGGGGCTGCAGAGGTGCTGAGGAGGCGGGGGGAGAAGGGGGCGGTCGGGACTGGGGGCTGGGAGCATTTCCACTCGGTGTAAGATGTGGAGTTATGGTACAGAAGGGATTGTCACATCCGGAGAGTGTTCAGAAAACTGCTTCGAAGGGGCTCACCCGCCTGCCCTCAGCCCCATCTGTTGAAATCTGACGCGTTCTTCAAGGCCCTGGTGACGGGGTGGCACAATTCCTTGTCTCCACAGTCCTAGTGAGTAGCTTCTCCAGATCCTGGGTGAGTGGAAGTCTGTCACCCTCTGTTTTCATTCCCTGAGCCTCATGACCTTTTCCCCAGTTTTGGAAGGAAATAGATCTTTCCCACACCCCACCTTGAGTCTTGCTTTCTCCGGCGCTGCCCTGGGCTCCCTGTGGGGACACCTCGGTCCCCAGGCACCTGGAGTCCCCCGTGGGCATCTCTCCAGAAATAACTCTGTGACTCAGAGAAGAGGAGACTTTGGAAAGACGAGAACCACTAAACTGTACACTTAAAAAGGGTTACAATGAGCCGGGCTCGGTGGCTCAGCCTGTAATCCCGCGGCTTTGGGAGGTTGAGGTGAGTGGATTGCTTGAGCCCGCGGGTTCGAGACTTGCCTGGGCAGCGAGACCTCATCTCTACAATAAATCAAAAAATCAGCCGGGCGTGGTAGCGCATGTCTGTAATTCCAGCTACTCGGAAGGCTGAGGCGGAAGGATCACCGGAGCCCAGCAGGTCGAGGCTGTGGTGGCCGGGAGCGGCCACTGCACTCCAGTCTGGGCGACAGAGTGAGACTCCAACTCAAAAAAAAAAAAAAAAAAAAAAAAAAGGGGGCTAAAATGGAGCAAAAAGGACAGTGGGAGGGATCCTGGAGGCGATGGCGCTGTTCAGTATCTCGACTGTGCTGGTGGCCACGTGAGCCTGCCCAGGCGACAAAATTGCACAGAACTAAGTACACACTTGCACGCCCCAGGAGAGGCAAAACTGGGGAAACATGACGAGAATAGGTGGATCGTACCAACGTCAATATTCTGGCTGTGATGTGACAGTTTCCCAAAATGTCACCGTGGGAAAAACTGGGCAAAGTGTGCAAGGAATCTCTACAGTGTTCTTCCAGCTTGATGTGAATGTGCAGTGATCTCAATAAAACTTTAATTAAAAAAAGAAACAAGCCAGGCTCGGTGGCTCAGCC